TATATTCAAATATCATTAAATTGTATATATATATGAGTAATTCCACCGGGTTTATACAACTTTTCTGAAAAAAGTCTCGAATTTGAGTTTCATTTTTCTGGTTCGCCCGAAGACAGCATGAAAAGTGCCTAGAACGTAAAAGAGATGAATACGGCTTTATAAGTTTCGAGAGCTTATCAATATGTAAGGTACAAGGACAGGTAATTTCCTATGATAAGTTGTATTTTGTGTAATAGAAACCGAGACAATATTCTCTCAACATACATGTTCGTTGTATTGTGACACAATCTCAAAGCTGACAGATCAAAATTCCGACTTACTGCGCTCTACCAACTTTTCACACCGTCTTTAGATTAAGAAATACACTATTAATAATGGATATCTTTTTGTTTCTAACAAAAAGATGTACGACTTGTAAACTGGCACATCTTCGAAAAAATGGTATATATCCCATGGAATTACTCATATGCATATATTTTTCAATGAGTAATTCGTTCATAAGAAACAGAGAGATATTTGTTCTCCGATAGACGTAAGTTAGATAGCGTCAAATCTTCAACTTTAATTCAGTCTAAAGTCGTTATTCATCAACTGATTTTTCCTTAATATCAACTTGACACTTAATGTAGTAAGATATAATTTATATTTGTATAGTGACAATATATTCAACAAACTTGCTATAACTTTTTTCTAGTGGTATATAGAATAAATAGCAAAATATTTCACATTGTTATCGAAAATACAATGAAGACATTATTCGACTAAAAAAAAAAAAATGAGAAAATTTTTTTCGAGAAATGATGATTTTTCAAAAACGAGCAACCTAATTAGGCTTAATAAAATAATCGTCTGAACACTTTCCCCTAAGAACATATCATATAGCCTTCGAAAGATAGCGTCATGTTGACGTTTCTAAAGGCAGAATTCAGTTGTCACCACTGAATCCTTAATCTTTTTTTTTTCATTGGCCAAATTTAGGATTAGATAGTCTCGTAAATTACAAAAAGAATCATTGCTCGAGATTAGATACCTAGTTTTTCTCGATCTAGTACAACTCTGACTTTAATAATACATGGTATGGGGCTATTCTCTTTGGAATGCTGACGACTCTTGGAAATTTTCAATTTCAAGACAAACAGATGTTTATTGAATCTTCGACATCTACGTTTTAGCAGAGAAGATTGAAGGATTTAGAAAGATTTCTAGAAAAAAAATAAGACTTCAACTAGATCTGAAAAAATTCGGTTATAATATCTTTTGGTAGAATAAAAAGCTAAGGAATATCGGGATCGAGAATTATTGAAAAAGCAACTCGATTAAATTTGAGACGCAAAAAAACAAAGAGAAATGAGCGTCTCTGAGTGTTATGTAGAGCCAAAAGCACCGATGCACTTCAGCAAAATAGACGCTATGAGAAAAAAAAATCTATTGGTTTTTGATGCAAATGGATGCATAATTGACATTATTCTACCAATCAAATCAGTCTTTTCTTGTCTAAAATCTCGAGTACAAGTCAATACTTATACTCGTTCAGCGCTGACCATTGTTGCCATTTATATGACATTAGTATCGAATAACATTCGACAAACATCTGTGTTATTTATGGTATGATATAAGAACGTTGTTCTCTCACACTTTTGAGTCGGCTTGTATTCAGAGCAGGCTCTTAGTCATATAATCTTACTACAAAGCACACAGAATGTGAAAAAGCATCTAGTGTAAGCATAATTCCCATTTATTCTAGTCTAAGATCTATGGAACGATCCAGGATGGCAAAAATAGATGTGTTGTCGTTCAAATCAGAAGCAACACGAATACCCACATATTCTCCATGATTGTGATGCGAATCATGACAACTGTGTTAGGAACAGATATATGCATGCAACCTCATCTGCTTAGTTTATTGTTTGGTCGACATGAACTAGACAGAAACATTCTAGTAGAAGGAGAAAAAGGAAAGAGTACGAGTTTAAGGCACTGACAAGTAAGTTGAATAAAATTTTTCATTCGTCTCGATCGATATAAAAGAAAGATATGTAAGGATCTTTAAAGAAATTGACATTAACTATCATACAGATTTCCAATGTGTATATCTTTGGTTTTTCTTCACGTTTACAAGTGCATTGCAGAACGGTAATGAACAATACGATAATGTGACACATGTAAACCGTTCAGATCCGTAATACTCGAAAGAATCATTGAAATCTCACATTCTTATGAAGTTTTCTAATAAACATCAGCCGTTTTCTAGCGTGATTAAGTTAAGACTGCGACTGTTTTAGTCGAACAGGAAAAAAAATTACAGTCATATTTTCTTCGATATTTCAGAGTGTCTCATCCAACAAATGGTTCAAAGCCGACAAACAAAGATAAAATGAGACAATCATTCTTCTTCTATTTGTTTTATTAGTATTATTATAGATAAAGATAGCTGACATCATTGTCAAAAACAGAGTTCCACGAAAAAAATATATTAACTCATGTCATGTCACTTCCAAGGTATTTCTTCATTTCTTTTCGACAGATCTTATCAACTCTAACAATTCTCTTTTCAGTCAAGGGTATAGGACTTGTTATGTGCATCATCATTCATCTCATGCCTGAATATTATTCTCATAAGGCAGAGCTGGGTAAAATACTCGAAGTACTCGTATGCATACTCGAGTACAATTTTTGTGGAACTCGTACTCGAGAAAACCCGTACTTGTCCACCTCTGGCATAAGGAATGATTCCATAGTGACGCTAATACAAGAACAACACTAATCCAAGTGAATCGAATAGAATAGGATCTTTCTCTCAGTAATAATTCGACAATTATAGAATACTACAGCAATTATCTTAGGTTTTATCTCTACTAACAAGAATATTGAGCGAGAAACCCTATAATAAATAGTCTACTTGAGCTTTTCGTTCCAAATAGACAGCTTCCAGATGATAGGAAGATTTTTACCTGATGAAACTCAAAAAAAGAATCAACTAAAAGTTAATGATATAATTATGAGAAAAAAAGTTGATGCAATTATAAAGCTACTGTGAAAGTAACCCTGAACTGAGTTAGAGATATAAAGCAAAGACAGTATTTTATTGAGTTCATTGTATTCATGAGAAAAATTGCACTCGTTCAGCTTGTGTCGCCAAGCACTCGGTCAATATCTGGTCGTTATCTTTTGACGATAAGCAAAAGAAAGTCGAACCGATCTGTAACATCAGCTGTTACAGCTACTATCAATTATTTTCTCTTGTTCCATCATGTTCATCTCTATGTGCCTTTTTTTCATCTCAAAGTACATCGATATGAGGCAAGATTATTAATATGTCCTACAGAGTTCTGATCAAGGCATATTTCTGACATCATTAAAATTTCATTTGATATTAGAAAAGATTAACTGTATGACGTACATCTCAAGCACAGATAATCTATTTGGAAGTGTCGATTCTAAAGTCTTATATAAAAGAATAACTAGTGTCTGCATGATTATTACACTTTATACTTCGACAGCGAACATTTTGGTATTTTTTATTATCGGTACCAATTGAATTTGGAAGTCATTATATATTCCAACTGCATTGATCCAAAAAAATCCTCAACTTGTCTTTGAGTAATGTACGTAATGATTGAAATTTTTTTTTCTCCACAAACAAGTGCATAAGCAACGATTGTTGACGCGACGAATCAAATACACAATGTCACCTTTGGATACAGTTATTATGTATCAAATGGCCACCATGAATCTTTACAGAATTTGTGGACCAATATTGGTCATTCTAGGAAGTATAGGTGGAGTACTCTGCTTGTGTGTGTTCGGACAGAAATCAATGCGTAAAAATTCAGGTTCTATCTATTTTATTGCATTCAATATTGCCAATATTCTTGTATTATGGATTTGTCTCGTACCATTTGTTTATCGTTACATGACTGGTATCGATTTTACTATATCAAATCTAATTTATTGTCGATTACGAATATATCTATTGGATGTGCTTATAGTATTACCATCATACTATCTAACTTTGGCTTCAATCGATCGAACATTAGTCACTTCTCATAATGCATTGATACGACATCGAAGCACTCGACGTTTGGCTTTCTGGACAATTAGTGGTATTACTCTTCTGTGGTTTCTTTATTATTCTCCCATTTGGTTTTTTGTCAGTATTCAATCACCTGCTCCTGACTTTTATATCTGTTTCTTTGAACCTGGGGTGTATTCTATGTTTGTGAGCTATTCTACAATGACAATAACTGGCTTTTTACCTCCTTTTCTAATGACAATCTTTGGCATAATGACAATGAGAAATTTTCGACGATCTCGAGTTCAACCAATCACTAATGAAAATAACATTATTGCATTATCATCAAAAGATCGTCAATTAGCTATAATGTTATTATTTGAAATTATTATTTCTGTTGTTTTATCATCTTTCGGATCAATTCTTTTTGTTTATACACAAAGAATTCCAAATGAAAGAAAAACTATGGAACAACAAGCTTTGGATTATTTTCTTCTAGATTTTGGTTTAAATCTTGTATTTGTACAAGCTTCTCTAACTTGTTATTCAAATTTTATTGTTTCAAAGAGATTTCGCAAAAATATTCGAAAACTCATTTGGAAACTAATGCCTCGTGTTTGTCGTCGACAGTTGATGAATCACTGGTCAAATATAGCATCAAATGATATAAATATGACTGCCACGGCTTTGACAGTTCGGCCACATGCAGTTACTATACATTAATAAACTCTATTAATACTATTATAGACACTTTGTTTGTTGTCATGTTTCTGTATTTGAGTAAATGTTTGAATTGATATCTGTATCGATGTTATTCTAAGGTCAGCATAAGATCGAATCGTGAAAAATGTTGAGAGTATG